AGCATCAATGGATAAAAGTCTTTGATTGAAGCTCTTGGCAAATTTCAAAGGTATAATAACAAATCTTGCTATGAACTTAAGTAATAGATGCTCAATGATCAAAAGAAGTGTTTAAAACTTGTCCAAACTTTTTCTCAAGTTTTCTAAGCAAAAAATCCATTTTTACTTCTGTGCAATCGATTTACATGTTGGTGCAATCGATTGCATGACTCACATTTCAGCTGTTTTGCTTCTGTTTCTTAGTGCAATCGATTTACACAAGAGTGAAATCGATTGCTCTCTGGTTAAAAATGATTTTGTTTTAAAGTGAAATCGATTTGCATGTTTGTGCAATCGATTTCTCAATGAAAATATTTGAATTTTCTAGCTGTTAAAACCCGTGCAATCGATTTGCATCAAGGGTGCAATCGATTGCTTACTGAACGTTTTTGAAAAACAGCAGCTTTGAACATACCTTTTTATAACACCACTTCATGGAATCTTTTCATTTAATCTTGGAAATTGTTCATGATTAATTTACAGAAGCTTATGCTGTTTCAAAGAGGGTGCTATGAACATATAAATACTGAAATTTCAAAATAAAAAATAATCTCTTCCAATCAATATTTTTCTGAATTTTCAAATATTCAACTCAAGCCTTTTTCACTTTCATTCAAAAAGTTTTCTGCATATTTTCATATCTTGTATAACAAAAAACTTTGAGCAATCTAAGTCTTGAGTCATTGTATATCATTGTTATTAGAAGAGAAGATCAAGTTATTGATAAAATCACTCAAAGTGATTATTGCTCTACAAACTCACTCAATCAAAATATTGTTGTACACTTTCTTATTTTTCAGGATTGTTGAAAATAAGATTAGTGATTTTTGTACTCTTGTTTTCCAGGATTGTTGGAAACAAGTAAGGTCACCTTGAGAGGATTGTTCTCACTGTTGACATAGTGAAAATCTAAGAGGATTATTATTGGTCTAAGAGGATTGTTCTTGGTTTTGGTAGTTCTTGTTTAAGTTTGCCAACTATAAGGAAATCTCTTTCATGTTGAAAGGGGACTAGAGTACTCTCGGACTGTGAGGGGAACCAGGATATCTCGCTTGTGGCTCTTTATTTTTCTGCACTTTACTCTTTCATAAACTTACCATAAACCAGAAAAATAATATCCATCATCACTAAAACCAGAAAAATTTTAAAGTACCTAATTCACCCCCTCTTAGGCGCACTTCGTACTTACATCAGTAAACTCTTCCGATCATCGGAGCAAGTACTTGCACTAAAGCGCGAGAATCTATTATGTTTGAATTTGATTTAGAATTATCTCAATCTCCTTTCCTCAAATCTCTAGATTCTCTATTCTTACTTTCTTCGGTGGTGGATGTATCTAAGGCTACAAGATCCACCGATGCGCAAGAAGCTACCAATACTGCTTTAGCAGTAAGAAATCAACCATCTCTTTCACCGACTCTAAACATCATAGATCCTGAAATGGTCGTTCCGCGACATCAAAATATAGTTCATGCTTCACAATTAGACAAATATGTTCAAGCAAATTCGATAGAGTCTCATGTTCCACTTTTGATTATGAAACCTAAAGAATTGTCCGACCTCCAAACATTCTAGGCGAACCTCGGTATGCAAGGTGTTAACAAAACTGTTGAACTATATGTTTAACATCGTTCGACAAAAACATTCACACGCATTCAAAGTGAAGGCCCAACGCCTAGAAAAAGTGTTCACAACGCTCATTCTCGCAAAAATATAATTCAAGAAGTTTCTTCAAGGAAGACTCATGTTTCTATCCTGGAGGCAACCGAGACAAAAAGAGATGAGGTTCCTTAGTTGAAAGACCAATGTAAAAATAGGGAACATATAACTCCTCCTCCCAGCCATGGTGGAGACTAGAGCTGTCATGCTCCTTCCCCGGCTCATGCAGAAACTCATTTGGGAAGAGTACAACCAAAACATCTACTATTAATAAGAATATTGGAGAGCAAGATCCCAAATTTTATGGAGAAACCACCTAAATTGAGTGATTATAACGGTAAAAAGGATCCAGACAATCATATGTAGCTTCTGGATGACTGACTGAGTTACTTCAGCATCGAGGACACATCCAAGTGCAAGTTGTTTGTGCTAACCCTGGTTGAGCTAACTCGGTTATGGTTAAATTTCTTGTCCGATAAATGTATTAATTCCATGGCAGAGTTTCATAAAATATTTTCTGCATAGTTCACACCCTGAAAGCGACGACATGTAACTAAAGATGCTCTAAGCGGGATCATGCAGGAGAAGAGAGATAGGTTGCAGTCATATATAGACCGATTCACATAAGTCTACATTGAGGTATAAGAAACTCAAGAAGGTCTTCAGTGTTGGATCTTAGCGAATGGTCTTTTGAGGGACCACCCTTTCAGGAAAAATTTAGGATAGAGGAAGGTAAAATCCGTAAATGTTAACCATGGTCAAGGCTTACATGATTATGGAAGAGTAGCTATGCTCGTGCTTTAATAACCATGCTTCCATTGATTCCCACTCTAGTCGCCCGAGTTGGAAGGAGTTCCACCGGTGTGAGATGATCATGACTGGAGAATGCTAGGAAAGTACAACAAGTATACTCCTCTAATGGTCTCCCGTGCAAAGATTTATCAAGATTAGATAAATAATGAAATTCGGAAAGCAGGAACCAGACCCCCATAACCCATTAGAGAGACATCTCAGACGGGGAAATTAAAATAATGTCGTTTCTATAGAAGACACGACCACAATACTGATTATTTCTTCCAATTGAAATATGCCATCAAAGAACTGATAAAGAAGTGTCGGCTAGACGAATATGTAAAAAGAGGCAAGGGGGATACAAAGGATTCACCTAAGGGTAAGTCTCCCTCGAAGGTCACAATAGTCGTGACAAGTGGAGAAAGCAAGGGGGCTAGCAAAGCCTAACGCCTATGCATTGTTGCGATAATCGGAGGAGCACCATGGGCAAACCTCTCGTCCAAAGGTACCAAGAATCCCAATATCGCTCCATAAAGAATCCACTAACACCGGAAAACTACTATGAGACAACCAATGATTATATAATCTAAAAGGTTTTCATACTTCAGAATAATAAGGCAATGATCAGAGACATCTCTCGGAAGGGCCTATTAAGAAAATACACCCTAGTGATCCCACCACCCATAAAAAAATCAAAAGGTAATCAATCTTATTAGCAACCAAGTGAACTTTCTTCCAAGGAGAGGTAGAAAAATCCAAACACTTCAAACTCCTTGAGGCAATTGATAAAACACCCACACCAATCCTCTCATCAACCGAGCAAATGGAATTAAAATCACCAAGGACACACCGAATGGCTCCTCTAAAGATAACTTTTCTAGAATTGAATTCAACCCACATTACTCTCTTCTCTGCCAAAGAGCTCTTAAAATACACATTAATAATAAAAACACATCGAATTAAATGTTCCCCACTCAAAATAACCACCCAAGAAACTTGGATTGGACAAGGAAGATGTTATATATCCCATAATTCTCTGATCCGAGTAATACAACTAGATATGTCGATAAATATTAAAGTGATAGAGGACAATTAATTATAGCCTAGTCGAATACCCGTGGCCTAGCTGCCTGGCCTAGTTGTGCTGGCCTAGCTGTGTTGGCCGGGTTGTGCTGGCCTAACTGTGTTGGCTGGGTTGTGCTTGCCTAGTTGTGCCAGGTCGGATTGTGCTGGCCGGGTTAGTAGGTTATTCGAATCAGTTACAGAACTTGATAGATAGTGGTTACGAACCATTGATGAGGCAGTTACACTTGGTTGAATATGAACGTTACAAATCATTATGGACGGTTACGAATGTTATAGAATGACTTAATGACCATTAGGCCAATGATGAGCTTATATAAAGGATCCTTGGAGAATGAAAAAAGGGAGAGCTGCCACACACATAAGACAGATATACAATAAATTCTTAGAGGAACTTCTGTCAGAAGATAAACAAGACACATATCTTGAATCAATATGAGTCAGTATCGTAACATCTAAATCCCCCAAAATCACTACAATAATCTACCTTAGAGGCTCTCTCCCAGTTTCTATAAAGTTAACCGTTTATTATTCTTAACAAACCAAATCATGCTTCTATGGTGTCGAGTTCCTATACAACGATATCAACAAAACCAACACTACAGGAATGTGGGGCTGGCAATTCATGCTTTTTATTGCTATGCTGTTGTCCATATCATACAAATCATGCAACAGTAGCTGTAGTAAGTGATTCAAAAGAAAGGCGAACTTCTAGCAATACACAACGCTGGGGATTCACGTTGCTAGTCGTTACCAAGACGATCATCTTCTTGCGGACCCAGCATTAAACCTCTGAATAACAACTCTTCATCAAGGTGGGGTTCCGGTCCTTTCTCCTTGACATGATCCGGTTTGATGTCCTAGGCATCATGGTTGAAAACCCCACGGCCGTCTAAGCAGATGGTTCATTAAGTAAGATATCCAAGGCACAAACTCTCTGCACACGATGTGTTTGATGAAATGCCAAAGTGAAGGTCATGTCCATTCCTTGAGGGTTTGCTAGGAAACGAGATGGGACTTTGAAAGATGTCGCTCGAGTAGAAGGATTGTATCATCAACACCATCGTTCACAGTTAAGTGATGGCTTCAGTATGTGGACTGGATCTCCGTTGAGTCACCGTTAGACACCATCGTGTGCAGATAAGTCACATATACTTATTCTTTCACGTAGCCTAAAATTCTCATACGTTATGCCAGTTGCTCGCAATGATAGCTATTTCGATTATACGGTTAAGACTAATGTGAATCCGGTTTACAATTAAGTGATGGTTTCAGTACGTGGACTGGATCTCTGTCGAGTCACCGTTAGATAGTTTCCCGAAACTAATATATTGACGAGTATATTCCAGGATTTGACTAAATGTCTCTGTCCATATGTTACCTGAAGGTGATAATAGCAGGTCTTACAAAAGAACCAGAGAAAGCTGTTAGAAACAATAATAAGGACTGAAAATCGAGGACATCGTCAAAGGAATCAGTGAGGCCGTCCCAAATTGCCTTGGATTGTTGCAGAAGCTGAATTGAGATATGCCAAACCAGGATCTTAACTGTGATCCCGAAAGTTGCCGCGAATAAAGCCGCTCTCTGTTCGCAAGCAGGGAATCCAATTGGCGAAAGTCGACAATGATTATTGGTCTCAAACGCCTCGCTGAAGACATCGGAGACACGGTCATCACTTACGCAGGGCTGTAGAAAGAGCTCATTGTTGCAAACCCAAAACACAGTGCTGAAACGATGTTGACGGCATAGCTAGAAGATAAGTGATTCCTATACATTCATTTAGCATATCGCTAGTCTATTCATGAATTGAATTAAGCATAAGTTAATTTGCGAAGTTCACAATTTCTTAAGTGATATAAGAAAAGACGGCTGCTTCGCGCTCTCTTGTTCTTTATATTAAGTCAACTTATATATGGGATTATTGCCATAATGTTAACGTTCAAGAATATTGGATGAATACGTGATACTCGGTTTGCTCTAATATAATGATTGTGTTTCAGTTGCAATATAACAGTTACATTGCACGCATATATACTACGCATAGTGTAATACTTCAATTCTACTCGGCGGTTAATAATAAAAGCAGAGTTTAACATAAAAAGGATGTTATATTTACAACTTAAAATCAAACTTCATTTAATCGTACATAAAACACATATATAACATTTAATTCAGATGAACCGATAACAATCTGTTTTATTCTTTAAAATCAGACAACTTTTATTAATAAGCAGCGAAATCTATGTATTCAACTTCAATTCATTTCATATCTTTTATTCAACTAAAACAACTTCAAGAAAACAATTACTTCATGTAAACAACTTAAAGATTCAGCAACGAAAATGATAAACAACAACTAAACATCAAGCGTTCATCTCTCCGAATGCTACGTATCAGAGCGAAAACACCGACTCGAATTAACGAAGGTAACAACTATTCTTCTTGATTACTTCCATGTTACCAACAGAGGGCAACATTTAAACAGAAGGGGTGAGATATCAAACTATATAATTGAGCGTATGATAAATAATATGTTAGATCAGATCACATAAAATCACCACTTCACAACTTACAAACAACAATAATCACAACAAAACATCGACACGACATAACGACTAATTCACAGCTTTTAGATAATACCTGTCACAACAAGTCAACAACAAATATATCATCACCACAACTCAAGATGCAACCTCAAATACGACTCAATTACAATGCACACACATGTGGTACCATTGGAGCAAAACTTCCAACTTAGAAATATGTCAGTTAATAGAGGCATCAACAAGGCATAAGCCTTCTTTGCAGTTTTCCAATCCGACTCAATTAATGCACTACCACATACTCACAACAATCATCATCCATCGCAAGGCATAAGCTCACACCACCATTATTACCAGTAAATAGAGGTAATTCATCATCACTTAAAATTCCCCGCAACTTCGCATTACTAACAAGAATTCATAGTGACAATCACAACAACACGACAACTCAACATAAATCAACATTGGTCATAAGCCTACAACTAAATAATTGCTAATTATAGATGCAATACAACATAACTCACCATTCATCAATTAATAACGACAACACAACAACTTACACATGCCAATAAAATTATTAACACGAACCTACTAAAATACTTTAACTAAATTATTCTGCTGATAAGTATTATTAATAGTTTTCGGCTGAATTAATGAAACTATTATTATTCTGCTACTTAAATTATCTCTACTGCTATTTTATTACTAATAACCTTTTGTTACTAATTCACATCTTAGTCTCTACCTTACAGCAACTTATACAATCCACCGTCTAAACCGTAATATTTTACAAATATTCAACGTAATTATTCAGACAATTCAACTATATCCGGCTAAATAATCCTCTACTAAATTACTAGTATTTCTACTCTATATTATTATTATTAAGACCATCCTGGTACTGTTATTTCACAAGTTCTGCTATTTGTAATTATTATCCTGCTAGATTATTCTCCTACTAATTTATTATTGTTACTTCTATTTAGGTATAATAAACTATAATTAAATATGAACTACATGATCAAGGGATACTAAGTTTTTCAAATAACATATGAGGGCCTTACCGTAATCAATTATCAAACGGACTAAACTAGGAAACTATATAAAACTAGTGTGCCTGTCGCCACAAGTAGTGTGCCCCTCGACACACCTTCCTTTTTCCAACATGGTGTCGATCGACACCCATTCCCATGCCCCTCGGCATGCCCAATATCTCTGTGCCACTCGGCACACACATTGTGCCCCTCGGCACAATGTGCTTTCAGTCCTCGGTTATGCAGATTTCTGTAATTTCTTTTTATTTTCAATTTTCCTTCGATTAACAGTCTCGCATCAGAATAATATATATCATTACACCAACATCAATTTTCACAGAAACACAATTTTCCAGAACCAACAACATGGAACCACATCAACATGACAACTAAATCAACACAAATTAATTCTCAGCAACATATTCATAGAAATCTGATAAATTTCAGAAACAACCAACCACAACAAATATACACATACAACAACGATTTTACACAATCCAATTCCCGCATACTATTCATCATAATTCTCATTATAGAGTCAGAACTCCACCCTTACCTTGGATTGGAGACTGCTCTATAATTCTTCGATCGAGTCAAACCTTGCCAAAGTTTCCAACCTTTACCTCTTTTCCTCTTCTCTGCAATTCTGTAACTTGCTCTCCAAAATCTCCAAAACCCTTATTGCTTCTAATTAACCTAATCCTCATAATTAGCTTAACCTTATAATTATTAATATTCTTATTGGGCCTCACTTTCACACCCCACCTATTACTCCATACAACCAAATAATGAGCCCAACTAATAAACCTTATATTGTTCTAATATCTATATTAATATTATTGCTAATATTAATCAACCAATCAATTAAATATCAACCAAATAACAACTTAGCAACATGAATCAACATTTCTCGACATTTCGCAACTTCAACAATTTCAACAACATTTTCAACCATTAATCCATAATTAATTTAATTAAACAATTAATTAAATTAACGGGTGTTACAACTCTCCCCTACTTAGAATATTTTCGTTCTCGAAAATCTATTCGATACTACCACTCTTAGTATGAGTTTCGCATCCAACTCGTTGATCTTCAAGTCGCGTTTGGCAACACTTCGACCGCTACTTTCCTGATAACTCAATAACTCAACACGATTCAAATCGATTACACATGTGCCAATCATTCAACACTTCGCAACACAATCGTTACTAGCATCTCAACTACTCCACCATAATCTGACATATCAGCATTTAAAGTAGCAACATCTATAACACACTTATACTTGGTTATACATCATCGCAATATCATCTTAACAACCTTTTCAACATCAAAACACATACAAAATTTCATTCCCGTATGTTAATTATCAACAAAATATCAACAAACTTGTTCACATCGTCGTATCGCTCTTATAGTGACATCAACACAACCAACATGATCAACTTCGTCATATTATGGAGTATCATTATTTACTTACGGAAATCAACAATAACAATAAAAAAATCATTACAACATCAAGTTAATTGTATAACTCAACAAGCACACCCATAGCTCACCATCAACCAATAATCCACAACAATCTTCTTATAAAATCCGCAAATACTTACTAGCAAACATAGTGCCCTGGCACAACATCTCTATATCTATAATCCACCAAATCAAGCATTTAGATTAAGACACACCCTTCCCATAGGATTCTGATATATAGTCCTTCTCTTTTAACGAGTCGTACAAGCACAACAACTGCGCCACATCACGCTTCAGCTGCGCAACTCTGATCATCTATCTTAAGTCACCGTCCTTATTTAAATTTTTGTAAAATATATGGTTTACAAGTTTCAATCTAGTTTCGGACTTTCCTCAATACCCACCATAAAATCGCTGTTCACTTGATATTCTCAATCTTTCACTTTGCGACGTTAATTTGCATATAACTCGCCACTCCGACTTGTTCAATATGTCTCAATTCTTTCTTAGTAATTCCTCTATTACTTCACACAAACTGGTGAGCGACTATCATCATGATATAACATCAATCACTTCACACACCATTAAGACAGTACGATAAATCTATGCCACCCAACACGATCTCGTCTACTATCAACAAGAGATTAAGGGTGATCAGTTCCTCAATTTGTCAATAGATAGCCAACAATTATAATAGAGTATAAACTATTGTTACTAACTATAATAGTGTTCCTTTCGAATTTGTACTCAAGTCACCTAAAGCACCATAATTCAATAATTTCCAATGAGGTTTACAGACACCTCCATAATTTTCCTCTCATTCGATATTGTCGATGAGACACCAACGCTTAACATATTACACGGTCCATATTACACTCATCTAGTCTCACCCGAAGGTTAAGCATTCTCTAACTCAAGAATTACTTTCTTCATCTCCGTATCATCAGGAATACAAATTCGATTACAGAATCTCAACACACCTTGCACATCTAACTTGAAATCATCATTCTTAGACTGATCGAGTCCAACCACCGGATCTACCAATTCCACACCTAACTTTTGAGCTTCTTTGATACTGTCCAGAAAATCATTCTTAATCTTCAACATCCCTAACATAACACTGTTCAGTGTCACTTTGCAAACTAAGCTCATATCTCTGAATTGTTCAATTAATTACAATTCTTTAACCATCATTACCTATATATGTAAAGTCTTTTGACCTAAAACATCAGCCACGACATTAGCTTTACCTAGATGATAATACAAACTGACATCATAATCTTTCAACAACTCCAACCATCTTCGTTGTCTCATATTCAATTTCTTCTGATCAAATAAATACTTCAAATCTAGAACCAAAAAGACAATGTCCCCAAATCTTCAACATAAACGCCACCGCTGCTAACTCTAAGTCACGCGTAGGATAATTCCTCTCATGAACTATGAGTCGTCTAGAAGCACAAGCAACAAATTGTCCCTTCAGCATTAGCACACCACTAAGTCCCATCTTAGACGCATTCATAGTACACTACAGATGACTCACTCGGATTAGGCAAAACCAATACCGGAGCAGTCATCAATATTTTCTTTAGTTCTACAAACTTTCTTCATATCAACATCTCATAC